CCCTGTCTGCCTGAGACACTGACTGGCTCACTGAGACACTGGCACTGACTGTCTCTCTCTGGTTGAGTGACGCACCAACATGTTTTGTCCATTCTAAGTGCTACGAGCATTTCCTGTGCACTCTCCCTGTGTGTCTCAGCTGTTTGTTGTTTACACAAAGGGACTGCGATATGTCTGCTGCAGTAAAATGCAACACATAGCGTGCCATGGTCGATAAAATCTATAATACAGAACATGTCCTGTTCAATAAATTACTATAACAACCTGAGTGCATTAAGTAAATCTAAACCAGAGTTGAGAGCGCAGGTTCTCAAGGGGGGACACTTTTAATGTCCAGAGGGAAATAGCCAGGCTCGCTGCCCCCCTCCCCCTCTCCAGATGTTGACCTCTGGGGTCATCCAGATGTTGGCCGTGTTTAATCAGAAAAGGATCTGTTAGTAAACAGCATGTCTGTGATCTGTGCGAGTCTCTCTCCCACATGGAACCAGGAGCTCTTGAACTTCTGTCATAAAGACAAGAATCTGCCAGTTTCTTCTCTGCCTGAAGAAGTACGTTTTACTGTACAAAATGACCAAATTCTGATCATTTCCAGTAAAATGTCTTTAGCCCAGTCTAGTTAAGGTCTGGGGGATAGGACCATTCTGTTTGGATAGTGCAGTCTGGGATAGATGTCAAGACCAGTTCCCTGGGATCAGACTAGATGGGTTGAATAGTTTCTTTTTGTTTGTAACCTGTCTGAGTTTCTGTTTATATTCTTAAAAAGCGCTAATAGTCTGTATTACACTGTGCCGTTGGCTGGGATTAGAAGGAAACATCAGGCCGCCTGTCACTTGGATCAGTGTGGATCCAGATATATAATAAATAGGTAAAGTTCCTCAAGTTCTCTGTGAAACGGAGGCCTGGAATCCTGTGCGTGATTATTCAGAGATGCTGTGAGGATACAGGCTGTTCCAGCATGTGTGTGTTAAGGAGGAGTGACAGAGCTGTACCAGGCTTTCTGTAGTCTGTCTCACCTCAGCTGTGCCCCAGCACGGATACAATTTGCTTGTTCTTGATGTGTCATTTTTTTTTGTGAGCCAGTTGATTCATCACAGAGCTCCTGTCCCTCTGTGGTGTGTGACTGGGGTTACAATTATTAGGCCAGGAGTACAGTGTTGTTGCTGATGCCAGTGGCCTGTCGGTGTGCAGTCCTAGTGTTTTCACAGTCTGGACAGTTCTGTGGTCTTGGCAGTGATGGGGATACAGCCCTGTCCCAGGCTCTCAGGGCTTCTGTGTGTCTGTCCACTGCAGAGTGACCAGCAGCTTGACTGTGCCCTGGACTTGATGAGGCGCCTGCCACCCCAGCAGATTGAGAAGAACCTGAGTGACCTCATTGACCTGGTGAGTGACCACTCTGATGGCCAGCCGTGGCAGCGGGCGCTCCCTGGCGTTGCTGTGGAAACAGGGTGTCTGCGCGGAGAGGGAGGCTCTGACGTGCGGTGTCTCTGTCTGTGAAGGGTGGGGCGAGGAAGCCATTCCTTGTGAACCCCCTTCAGACAGCTGGGAGTTTGCCTCCCCCCCTCTCTTTCCTTGTGACTTCTCACTCTTTGCAGTACCTTCTCACTGGCTAGGAGGTGCTCTCTCATTCTCCCAGCCTGTCTCACTCTGCCGTACCCTCATCTCCC